GGACAGAGATTGTTTGCCACTCCCAAAAGATCTATTTTTAATCCCTGCATGTTGGGCAAAGATGGTTTCCTTTTTGAGAAAATTACCAAATAATCTTTTGGAATAATTAGTTTTAAACCTGAGGAGGGAGTCTTGGCTCTCTGCTTTGCAAGGGAGAAGTACCTAACTCTTACTTAATTTCACACCAAATTGCATGTGAGATGGAAGACCAACAGACTTAAAAGTTTCTCTTGATTGCGAACAAGGAAAAGTAGTTTATTATTATCATGTAAAAAATGCTGAGATTTCCAGTTTCACTGCTGCTTTCTCTGAGAAAAGCCTTCCCTTTCTTCTGAATTCCTGGACAGCTGCCTCAGATTAAGATATGCCAAGACCTTGAAATATATTAGGCTGAAGGGGCCCTATATGTCTGACTATTTCTGGTGGGGTTTTTTTTACAAAATACATTTTGTTCTTGTTTTAATTTAAAGGCCTCTCTTCATCTCAGCCCTTAAACTGTAGCTTCTTTAGCTTCTGCACAAATCTGGCAATGTTGGTCATAAATGGAAAACAATATTCAGCCCATTGAATACTGGACTCCTTCATATGATTAAAATGTGGCCATGGGCTGTCTGAGCCCTAGAAGCATTGAATCACAAAAACGAAATGCGGAAATTTCTACTTGGATGCAGAAGTAAAAGTACAGTATTGCATTTCAATGAAATGCCTCAGTTTGGAAATTCACTGCTCTCTCTCTCTTGTGTGCATGTTCTATGGGGCTATCCATTTATTATTACATACATGTCGCAATAAGAATAGTGATTTAAGAAAACTAGATGCTACCGTTTCTACACCCCTAGTTCTTTTCACCAGCATCAGAGCAGGAGTTGCTTGAAGAAATAAAAGATTTCAAGTGTCTCTTTAGAGAACAATGTCCCTTTGACAACGGCAGCACAATGCAACTGGCTCCGAATATAATCTCTGAACCCCTAAAATAAAATACAAATGAGATCACTGTGTGCATTCTCTTTTCCAGTGCGCCTCCTGCACAAGCATAATTCTGCTACTTAAACCAAGTCCATTTCCTCACATTTCATCCAGAAAGTTCCCATTAAAATATGGCAGTTAGTCCTCAAGGTGTTAACGGTGTTTTTCTTTTTGTTTTGCATTGTTTCTTGTCTGGTCTGTTCTCTCAGTACATACAGTAAATCCCAGTAGAGTGGGCCCATCGGCTCAATTGGGATTTGGCAAGTCACCTCCTTCACAGGTGGCACCAATTCTAATTTTGACACAGCACGACATGGTTAGAGTAAGCCCATTTGACTCAATGGAACTTATGGAAGAGTTTACCAGCTAAATTCCCATTGATTCAGTGGGCCTACTCTGGTACAATCTGCTACATTACAGACAGGACGTGGGCCCATGTTTCTGAGGTGAGGGAACCTTAATGCCTGTTTTTGTTATCTGCAACGTAAGCACACAAGAATCCTTAATAATAAACAGATCACTTCTCATTTCCGGAGCCCATTTCCTAACATCCCTCCAGCGCTCAAAGGGCACATTGGCTCCCCACCCCGGCAATTCTATTGGCTATGATAATACAACCGCAGCCAATAGCGTGCTTCAGTTGGGGGAGCGGAGCGGAGGGGAGGCGGGCCCACGCCTTTTCTTCGCGGGCCGCTTTGCTGCGGGGCAGCCTGTGATTGGTGCGTGAAGCGGCTCGAAACACAACGGGGGAGAAAGGTAGGCGATGGGCGGAGGAGGCTGGGTCGTGGGAATGGAGGAGCAGGCAGGGGGAAAGAAGCGTGCAGCGTGCTCTGTCGAAGAGTTCTGTTTGCATAGTCCCTGTGTACGTGGTTTACAGATGGCGCAGCTTACACTGATGGTTTTTAAAGGAGTCTTTTTTTTTAAAGGAGAAAGGCGGGATAGACATATATTTTTTAAAAATTATATGAATAAATAAACTTTCCCTGAGCGAAAGTCATTTGCCTAACGCCTGGTTTTTGCAAACGGGTATCGCTAGCCGAAAAGACAGAGATCCATGTGTGATCCTTCCCCAAGTAGTGAAGTAGTTCAGGGTTGGTGTTCCTATGGGTGAGCGAGTACCAGACACCTGTGAAGTTTTTGTAGCGCTGCCTTTATGTTCAGATATAAAGCCACTCCGACATGATAGTGGATCTGCTACTCTTCTCCTTAGTCTTGACTCCAGAGCGGGAATCCTGCACCCTCCCTCACCTCGCCATTTGCTGCCTCTCCCAAACAGACCAGCAACACCACACGTTTTGCAGCCACTCAAGAGCTCTCTCTGACCCAAAAGACTTAACAAATTAATACGCTTTTAGTCTAAAATTTCACAAAACTGTGGTTTTCGCTCCAGCGGCCTGACACGGCTACCCTTCTGAAAAAATAAAAGGAACCAATTCTGCCCCTGTTTTAAGAGGCTCTTATTCTAGTTATGGGGAGGCTATTCTTACAGGTTTGCAAGTCTTTAATGGTGACTGTAGTAAGTATAACTTCGCTCATAAACAATGTGCAGTTGTGATTCTCACACTTAACATGTGTTTGATCAGGCTTGTTAAGTAGTGCTGGTTGGTAAGGGAATAATGGTTGTGGAAGTAGCCAGTATGGTGTAATGGTTAGAAAGTTAGAGTAGGGCGTTGGAAATTCACAATCTGGTCCTCATTAAGCCGTGAGGGTTAACTGGATCACATTGGGTCATGCACAGATTTTCAGCCTGGTCCACTTGGTTGTGGGAACCAAGGTGGACAGGAGAGGAACCATATGAACTATTTTGTGCTCACCAAAAGAAGGGCAGAATAAAAATATAAATAATGATTACTGGGTGTAAGTGTTTGCAGCAATATTGCAAGCTGTGGAGGGTACCGTATAGACCAGATGGGCGGGATATAAATCCAATCAATCAATCCATTTTTAGCCTGTTTTCTGATAAATACAACAGATTGCTTTCAGTATTTCAGGCAGTCCATTCAGGGAGGTTGTGCCTCCACCCATTAAAGATCTCCTTCAAGTACAGGCAAAAAAACCCTTCCTCTGTCTCTGGTTCCTTGAAAGACAAGCACTTCCTGCTTGCAACAACAAAAAAACCGAAAGCAAATGTTTGTCCTTGTCCCTTTTTGCAGTCGGAAGAGATCCATGGCTGCTCCCAATCCAGAAAAATCCCTCCAGGACGAAGCCACTTGTTCCATCTGCCTGGATTATTTTCAGAACCCGACGATGATCATAGATTGTGGGCACAACTTCTGCGAAGCCTGCATCGGCCAGTGTTGCGAAGGGCCCGTTTTGAACCAGTTTTCTTGCCCTCAATGCAGGAAGCCCTTTTTTTGGCAAAACGTCCGGCCCAACAGGCACCTGTGGAATATTGTAGAACTTGCCAAGCAGTTCAGCCTGCGGCGGGCAAATGAAGCGGGAGAGCGGAAGTTGTGCAAGAAGCACCAGGAACCCCTCAAACTCTTCTGCGAGCAGGATCAGACCTCCATCTGCCTGGTTTGTGATCGATCAAGGGTGCATAAAAACCACACTGTTGTTCCTGTCGAAGAGGCTGCGCAGGTTTACCAGGTAATAATTGGAAAGCGAAAATGATTTATGGTAGGGTGGGGAAGGCTAACTTTTCAAGTGTTGGATTGCAGCTCCCTTGATTCCTTGCCATTTAGAAGCCAGAGATCCTAGTAAAGCCAGATCTATGTTCTACCCATTGCTGGCTGGATAGCTTGGTGAGTTATGTCTCTGACTGGGGAGCCAGAGGTTGGAAGTTCAAATCCCCCCATGGTGCCTCCAGGGAAAAGAGTCAGCCTTGGGCAAGCTCCACAGTCCCAGAGCACCCGCTCCCCTGAAGAAAGAAAATGGTAAATCACATCTGAAAACCCTAAAAAGGGTCACCATGAATCAGAATTCACATGATAGCACAAAATTTTTGATGAGGATGATTAAGTAATGCCTGGCCCTATTTGTTATTTGTCCTTTTTTTTTGGTGAGTAGAAGACAGGTTTTAAAAGATTTTATGATAATGCCTGGCCCTATTTGTCATTTATCCTTTTTTTGGTAGGTAGAAGACAGGTTTTAAAAGATTTTATGATTTGACTATATGCTAATTAATGGACAACTATGAAGTTTCACAGTAGCCAAAAGATATAACAGAACCTTGATTTTGTATGGCATACTGCAATAGCTCTTGCTGTATCTTGTCACATTTATAGCTCTGTTTGCTTTGCTATACCATAAATGATCGAACTGCAACAGCTGCTGCTGCTGCTTTTGTGGCACTCTTGCTGCTACTTCTGTTTGTGAGCTGCCCTGATAAAACATTTAGAGCAGTGGTCCCCAACTTTGGGCCTCCAGATGATCTTGGACTCCCAGAAATCCTGGCCAGCAGAGGTGGTGGTGAAGGCTTCTGGGAGCTTTAGTCCAAAAACATCTGGAGGCCACTGATTTAGAGCAATGATTCTCTAACCTTGGGCCTCCAGATGTTCTTTGACTACAACTCCCAGAAATCCTGGCTAGCAGAGGTAGTGAGGAAGGCTTTAGGGAATTGTAGTCCAAGAACAACTGGAGACCCAAGGTTGGAAACCACTGATTTAGAGGGTGGCTTATAAAAACAATAAAATAGGATAAATAGACTGAATAAATATTCTTCATACACTGGTAGGAGGGGTGTGAAGAAGAATATGGCTTTTAAAACTGTTATGATGATTATTGATTATTGTAATACTGTAGTTCTTTTTAGTGATATCTGGAAAGGTGGGATAATAGCAATATTTTTGTCTGAGGGAGGGGGACAAAATAAATACTCCATGTTTCTAATGCATTCCATTTTTACTGTGGTCGTAGAGTCTTGTGTGAGCAGGCTGAAAGATGGGCAGTATGGTATAGTGGTTACTGCTGTACTGGGGCTTGGGAGATGAAGGTTCAAGAAGCCACTGAGCCATGAGACTCCAATTGGTTGATCAGGACTCCTCACAACCAGTAGATAATAGGAAACAATGTAGGTCCTGCAGGTCTGACGTTTGTCCAACTCTGGTCTAGAAGGAGTGGAGGAGCTGTAGAAAGACATCTGTATTTCCTTTGAGATTGGTCTGAAAGGGGCTGAGAAACAGTTCTGGATCAGTTATACAAGGTAACACTTGGGTGGTGTATGTACAGGAAGTTACAGCAGTGCAGCGCTTTAATAATTCCCACCCTGTTGATGTGTAGTCAGGAACTGGGAGAAGACTTCAGTATTCTCCCAGATTAGTTGCTTAAATTGGCTGAGGGATGTAAGAAGGAACTGACAAATTTACAAGCAATATATCTCTGCCTCAGGAGAAAATACACAACTGTTTGAAGACTCTGAAAGAAGAAAGAGGCAAGATTTTGTCATTCAAATCAGAGTGGTCCAAGCCAAGTGAAGATTTGCTGGTAGGTGGCATTGTAATCTGAAAGCAGTAATGTGGAGCGTTAACTACATGGTTCACTAGGGGCTGACTGTCCTTTTGTGGGCATCTGGCCCTTATAAAGAGAGAAGTATGTCCAGGATTACACCAGCATAGGCTACTTTAGTTGCTTAATTTTATTAACTTCATTCCAGTGCAGTTGGTAGTTGAAGTCAAAACCTGCTTGTCAAATTGGGAATCCTCTAAAAATGCTGTCATCGGAGTGATTTTACTGACCTTGGAAGGAAAGAAGGTTGAGTCAACCTTGAGCCGGCTACCTGGGATTGAACCCCAGGTTGTGAGCACAGTTTTGGCTGTTGTACAGCAGTTCACTGCGCCACGAGGCAACACAGATGATTTAAGAGAGAGTCGAGGTGCTTCCAGATGAATAGGTGCTTCCCAATGCAGAGAGTTGTAGTATCTCACTGGTCCAAATAATTTCACTGCAAGGTGGGGGGCCCATATGGTGCTTCCCAGAAATCTCAAGGGTGTTGCTTCACTTCTCATTCTCTAGCCCTAGTTCTTATTTTACAGTATCCTGGCCTTGCTCTGCCTTGTTTGCTCTTGTGACAGGCTGGCCAAGGTGAATTGGGACTTCTGCAGGTGAGGAGTCTGGAGGCTTGCTGCCTGGGAACTCTCAGGCAGTGGGTTGGGCGGGTAGGGGTTAGGTGATGGTGGAAGGGAAACGGCAAAGGTCATCAGCCAATCAGCTTCAATGGGGAGGAATCCCAAAGGCAAAGAGCAGTAGGATTGGTTATCTGCAGCGGTGCACTGCCCAGGCCTTAGAGTGGACATGGAGGGAGAATCTGCGCAAGCATTCAGTGCGGACCAGCAAGTGATCCAAGCTGCTGTTCCAGTTATGAGAAGAAGATCCACCCCAAGACAAGAACTGGGTGAACCTATCAGCATGACTGCTTCGGGACTGGCTCAAGAGGCCTTTCATGGATAGCATGGAGGGAGACGGGGAGGAGAGGTCCCAGCGAGGCCTCCGTCCAGGACTAAGGTCATTTTGCTAGGGAGAATATGGAAGATAGGGACGCCTATCTTGTTGTAAACCGCCCAGAGCGGCCTTGGCTGCCAGATGGGCGGTATATAAATCAAATAAAAATAAATAATTGCTTCTGCATACCCTGAGGACTCCAGTGTTCTCAGCTTGAAGAATAGTGGAGGTTACTGCACTCGTCCTAGCCTGCCTAGCTAGTGCTGAAATCAAATGTTCCTCCTTCCAGATTGTATGTACAGTGGCACCTCGCTTAGCGATCGCTCTGTTGAGCGATGAAATCGCTTTGTGATGGACTTGTGGCCATCGCCGGAGCGATCGCTTAGTGATGTCCTCTATGGCTAAAATTCGCTTTGCGATGATCGCGGGGAAGCGATCTTGGCAAAGCGAATTTTTTAAAATAGCTGATCAGCGGTTCCAAAGTGGCCGCTGCAAAAAAAATGGCCACCGCTGTTTTGCCTCGCTGTAGAGGCACCCAAAATGGCGGCCGCTATGGAGGAATTTTGCTTTAAGGTAAGTTTTTAGCCCGTAGGAACGTATTAAAAGCGTTTTAATACATTCCTATGGGCTTTTTAAAATCGCTTAGTGATTAAATCACTTAGCGATGTTTTTTCCGGAACGGATTAACATCGCTAAGTAAGGCACCACTGTATATAAATGTAAAAGTTTAGTTACACGGGGTCATTCTTGATGCTAGGAGTATCCATTTGTTGAAAGCAGGGACATATAATCACAGAATCTCCAGGAGCAGAAAGTAAAGAAAATATATGAAAACGAAGGAAAAAGTATTTTTCCTTCCATTTTTTTTCTCACAGGTTATTCAGGATAGTGGGTCTCTTCAGTAGCCTGAGTGCAGTATTGCACAGAAATGATGTTGTGGGCTCCCGTCACTACCTGACAAGTGCAGAACCTGTGATCTCCCAGATGTTTTAGACTTTACCTTCCATCGGCTCCAGGCAGCATGGGCAGTCTTCACAGATGGCAGATGTTTTGGAGAACCACAGGTTCCTTGTCTTGGAATGACATCAATCAATAATGCTCTCCTTAGGTTCATGGTAATAGGGTTTGCACGTTGCCTAAACACGTGTTTATGATGTATGTGCAATTGTTTGGACGGCTGCAAGAATTGTACAGATGGCTCTCTGTGTACTTGTGTACCCAGACCCAGAGGCTGCCTGGGAATGGCAGTCTGAATAGCCTGAGACAAAAAGAGCAAGTATTAAGCATGGGGTCTGCAGTTCCTCTGAGGGTGCTGGTCTGTAAAACACCTTGGAACGCTCAGAGCTTTTTCTGTTGCTTCATCTGTCCTAATCAGAAGGAAACAGAAGTTGAAAGGCAGAAGCTGGTGTCAGAATTCCAGCAGCTGCGCCAGGTTCTTGAGAAGGAGGAGCAAACCCTTTTGACCCAACTTGAAAAGCTGCAGGCAGATGCGAAGAAGAAGATGGAGGAAGGCGAAGCTAAATATTCTGCAGAGATTTCCCATCTCACTGCCCTCATTGGTGAGATGGAGGAGAAGTGCCAGGAGCCTCCAGGTGGGCTGCTGCAGGTGAGTCAGTAAGCAAGGTGAGCACTGTAGAGAAAAAACAAAGCAACATAGAAACATACCCCCCAGCCCAAACCTACCCTCCAAAACCCACCCAGAACATTTTTTAAAAAGTAAAAAGCAGCACCTAATTTTTAAATACCAAAAAATAAAGTAAAAATAAATAATACCCTCCAAAACCCACCCAGAACATTAAAAAAAAACACCAAAACACAAAGTAACATAGAAACACACCTCCAGTCCAAATCTACCCTCCAAAACCCACCCAGAACATTTTTTTAAAAGTAAAAAGCAGCCCTTTATCAGTCCAAAGCCTCCCGGAGGTCCTCAAAAGCCAGTGATGGTACCGGGGGGGGACCCCCACGGGGCCTTCTGAGGCCTAAAAAACCAGCGATGGTGCCGGGGGGACCCCCCACGGGGCCTTCTGAGGCCTACGGAGGCCTCAGAAGCCAGCGATGATGGCCGGGGGGGGGGACAGTATTCGCTCCATAAGACGCACACACTTTCCCCCATGTTTTTTTTTTTTGGAGAAAAAGTGCGTCTTATGGTGTGAAAAATACGGTATATAAAAACAAGCACAATTAACAGATCAAACTGTATTTACAAAGCAGATTCCAAATATGGTTCCTGTTAGAAGTGCTTAATCTGTTTTTCCTTTCTCATCCCAGGATATTGGATGCATGTTCAAAAGGTATGGTACTTGTTCTTGTTAACCTTTTCCCCCCCTGTTCTGAGACTTGAAAGAGCTAGGAACTGGGGTTACAAGCTACACATCTGGTGTATTACTTTGCACACATACCAAGAATGTTTCAGTAGTCAACAATTGCTTTCTTGTAGAATCATAGAATAATGGAGTTGGAAGGGGCTTATAAAGCCATCAAGTCTAACCCCCTCAGTGGAGGAATACAAATCAAAGGCTATCTGCCAGGTGGTTGTCTACATTTCTCTTGAATGTCTCCAGTATCAGAGCGCTGAACACCTCTCCAGGCAATTGGTTCCATTGCTGTACTGCTCTAACAGTTAGGGAGTTTTTCCTCATATTCATCTGAAATCTGGTTTTCTGTAACTGGAGTCCATTATTACATATCCTGCACTGTGGGGTGATCAAGAACAGATCCTGCTCCTCCTCTTTATGACTATCTTTCAAATATTTGAAGAGGACTATCATATCACCCCTCAGTCTTCTTTTCTCAAGGCTAAACATGCCCAGTTCTTTCAGTCTTTCCTCGTAGGGCTTGGTTTCCAGTGCCCATCCAGCCTTCTTAGCAAGGCACAGTTTCACAGAACTTTGGAGAAATATGAGAAGTTTTGTATTTTGTCATGTACTTCCTGTTTTCTTAAAACTTTAGGTGCCAGAGAGGCAAGTTTCAGTCTCCTGCTGTACCTGATTCTTCAGAGCTAAAGAAAAGGCTTCAAATATTCTCCAGAGACAGTACATCACTACAGGGGCAACTGAAAAAAATCAGAGGTATCAAATGTGTGTCTCTAGCTGATCGGTTGGGTGGGAAGTGTTCTGTTTTTAACTTAAAGGCAGAACAGTGAATACCTATCCTAGTTATGCTCAGTTTTTGTGTAATTCTGCTTATTAAAGACAAGGGCTAGATCCAAACTTAATTAGTCACACTTCAGTGCTGTTGAAATTGCTGGGATTAAGTTGTGACTCGTATGTCTCATTGAACTGAATGGGGTTAGAGTGAGTAATGCAGTCTGGATTCAGTGCTGGCCTGACAGACCAGTGATAGATGTAGATGGAACAGAAAAATATAAAATTGTAAGTATGTTTTGGGATTTTGAAAAAGGAACTGATTTAGTCTGTATAAGCGCATCGTATAAAAACAAACAAACAAAAAAGCAGGAGACAGAATTATGGTATCTTAAAGCCTAATTAAAGATTAAAACATAGTGGGTAACCCTTAAGGTAGCATAACATTTTTGTCTCTTGATTCCCCCCCTTTTGTTTATTTGTTTGTTTTATCTAGTGTGTTTGTGGAGATTCTCATTTCCAAAGTGGTAATAACTTTTAAGTTACTAATGAGAGTGTACAATAAGGCCCTGCTGTCTGCAGGATCAATGTCTGTTGAGTCTCATACCCGCTGCATGAAAATACTAAATCAAAAGACTAGAGATGGGAAGGCCAGGGGTGGGGATGGAAAAAATAGGTTTCCAAAGCCATTTTTTGTTTTTGTTTTTTGTTTTTCTGGAAAAGCGGGGGGGGGAATATGGAGTGTGAGCTATGTTCTTTTACAGTGATAAATATGTCTGTGACATGCAACCTATATAATGTGAAGACCTTAAAGACTTCTGAGGCTTTACGTAATTAAAAAGCCCAGAAATACGTACAGTGGTGCCTCGCATAGCGATCGCTCCGTTTAGCGACGAAATCGCTTTGCGATGTTCCCTATGAGGGAATTCCGCTTTGCGATGACCGATTATTGCAAAGCGACCATTTTCAGCCAGCTGATCGGCGGTTTCCAAATGTCCGCTGGGAAAAATACATGGCCGCCCGCTGTTTTCTGGGACGGATTCCTCGCTTAAGAGGCACCAGAAATGGCCACGCTATGGAGGATCTTCGCTGAACAGTGAGTTTTAAGCCCATAGGAACGCATTAATTGTGTTTTAATGCATTTCTATGGGCTTTTTAATTTCGCATTGCGACGTTTTTCTGCAGCGATTTTTGCGGAACGAATTAATGTCGTAATGCAAGGCACCTCTGTATTTATATGTATTTCCAGAACTTATTTACCAAAACACATGCATGTTTCTTGGCATCTGCAGGGGGTGGTGATTTTGATTTCCTCAGAACTATCAGTCTCCTGCTCTACCTGTGGTCTCCCTCTGGGGAAATCGCCCCAGAGGGAGACCACAGTTGTGATACAAGAATAGACCGCAAGCGGGATCTGAAGGCCTTGGAAATGGATCTCAACAGATGGGAAACCCTGACATCTGAGTGTTCAGCCTGGAGGCAGGCGGTGCATCACGGCCTCTCCCAATTTGAAGAGACCCTTGTCCAGCAGGCAAAGAGGCAGTCACGAAAAGCAGCAAAATCAAGGAGCTAGACGGGGTACAGATTGTATTTGTCTTCAGTGTGGAAGGGACTGACACTCTCGAATTGGCCTTCTCAGCCACACTAGGCGCTGTTCCAAGTCCTCCATACAGAGCACGTTACTATAGTCTCTCGAGACTGAAGGATGCCTAACCTAGGGGGTGGTACTTGGGACTGATGCCCCATGGATACTGCAGTCCTACTGTATTCCTATATAATATATTGTGAATGTTATATATAATAGATGGAATTTTTTATCTGTCTGAATATGCCACATTATAAACTATGGAGGTTTTCACCTATGTTTCTCCTTCTCTTGCTCTAGAGACACTAACTGAACCAAAGTGGATAAAAGGTTAGTTTCTACAGAGGATGAATACCTCAGAGTAAACATATTTTAAAAGGTATCCTAAGACCATTGCTTGGTTCAGAAATAACACTGCAGGGTGTTTAGGTGCCAAAGTTACAATGGATGTTAGAAAAAGCTTTGGTTGTCTCTTACAAGCTTCTCTCACAGTATTTAGTTTATGATTTTTTAAAGGAAAAGAAAAAAAAGAAGGGCCCCATTTTGGAGGGGGGTGGAAAGTCTGAAAGGTGTACAGAGTAAGATATTTCATGACCTTGTGTGTCTTAAAGATAGTTTTCCATGGTGTGCTTAAGATAGATTGGATGTCTTTACAGTGTGCTGGGCTATAAACCCTTATTCACCATGTATTTTCTTGAGTGAGTTTGGGGGTAGTTTCTGACTCCACTGGAATTCCAGTATATTGAGGGTGAAGAGTGAGACTAGGGTTGAGAATTTTAGTGCTCAGAGAGACTCCATTTGATCAAGTGATATTTTCTCCCCAGAAAACGTACTCGTGCTCATTATATTTTCATATTTAAGGTTTTTAAACACAAACATATATTCCACACGATACATTTTTCACAATCTCCCTACCCATTTTATTCCACCTTCAGTAATTCTTGAGTGTCTGAAAATGTGCATTTTCAGTTAATCTTATTAACAATCTACTGATCAATCTATCAGTCTGTGAGTCTGCCTGTTCCTCATTGGTGGGGATCCGTGGTGGATAACAAAATGGTTAAAATGCATAATATACAGTATTCCAATACTAAAAAATTTTTAAATGTTGTTATGTGATATCAAGTGATCCTAACAGGGCTTTCAAAGTAAGTGAGATATTTAAGGAGTGATTTTAATAACTCCACACCCTCAGTGAGTTTCCATGGTCAAGTGGAGGAGTGATTTTACTAATTCCACACCCTCAGTGAGTTTCTTGACAGTGGTCAAGTAGGGATTCAAACCCAGACCTTCTGAGACTTAGTCCTTTACTGTCTCCACTGCATCACATTGGATATTCCTAAGGAAACATAGGATCACATTAAAATCACCCTTGAATTAAACACTTTAACAGGACATCATTTTACAGCAACTCCTATTAAAAGCCCCTTCCTCAACAGCTTTTTCATTTGTGGAAAGTCTGCCTGAAGGGAAAGGTCCTCGCCTATTGATAGAAGGAGATCAGAAAGCGAGCCCAGCCAGCCTCCCTTGGGTGGGAGTTCAGCAGCCTGGGAAGCAGGCACTGAAAAGGCCCTGTTTTATAGACTAAATAGCTAAAATCCTGTTGCTTAGTGTAGTAAATCACACAAAAGTAGGCCCACTGAATCAATGGGGATTTGGTGAGTCAACTCCTCCAGAAGTAGATCTTTGGTCAAGATGGGCAGGGTAGAAACTGAATAAAATAAATAAAGAAAGAAGTTTCGTAGTTTCAAATGAGTCTAGTTACGACTTACTTTAGCATTACAGTGGTCCCTCGCTTAACGATTACTGTACCTTGTTAAATGACGAATCCACTTGACGAATTAACGATTACCTTTTTAAATGACGAATCCACTTGACGATTAGGTTTTTGCAATCGCAAAACAATGTTTCAATGGGATAAACGCTTTACAATGATCAGTTCCCTGCTTCGGGAACTGATTTTTTGCTTTGTGACGATCAGAAAACAGCTGATCTGGTTTCAAAATGGCTGCCCACTGTGCAAAATGGCTCCCCGCTGTGTTAGGGACGGATTCTTCGCTTTACAGCACCCGAAAATGGCCGGCCTATTTTTCAGTGCACTTCAATGAGCAGATATTTCGCCCACTGGAACGCATTGAACGGTTTTCAGTGCACTTCAATGGGCTTTTTTATTTTGCTTGATGACAATTTCGCTGGAACGGAGCGAGGCACCACTGTATAAGTGGCAACTAGAGTAGGTCCATTTGAATCAGTGAAACTGACAGTGGAGTTGACTCACCAGGTTCCCACTCTGGTTCCACTTACTTTACTAAGCGCAGACAGTGGAGTTGATTCACCAGATTCCCACAGGTTCCTACTCTGGTTCCACTTACTTTACTAAGCGCATCAGAATCTCAGCACGTGAAGGTAAGGATCCTTGAGGCTTGGCTCCTGACTGTCCATATTGCTGTCTTGTAGAGGATATGACATTGGACGTCGCAACAGCTCATCCACGATTTGTTGTGTTTGAGGATCGGAAAACTGTCGCATGGGGCCCTGTTCGTGAGGAGCTGCCTTACGATGCCAGAAGATTTGACCCTTCCCGCTGTGTGCTTGGTTCGCGAGGGTTCACCTCAGGGAAGCATCACTGGACAGTGGATGTGGACCAGGGAACTTTCTGGGCCGTGGGTGTGGCCCGAGAGTCTGTGAAGAGGAAAGGACAATTCACTATAATCCCCGCAGAGGGAATCTGGGCTGTTGGACTGTCCAGTGGCCACTACAAAGCTCTGACTTCACCTCCTGTCATTCTGAGCCATTGCAAACCCATGAGAAAGATCCGGGTTTGTTTAGACTGTGAAGGAAAAACGGTGATGTTTTTTGATGCTGAAGAAAAGGAGGCCCCTGTTCTGTTCTCATTCCCAATTTCTGGATCAGGAAAATTTTTTCCTTTTTTCCGAGTCGGAGACATGAACACCGTCCTTCGCCTGTGTTAAAGGTTCTATTGCCCATGGGGCCCGATCTTTGAGCTCAGCGCCGCCCCTTCCATGAATGTAACAGAGCTCTCTTGCACAGTATCCTGTGGACCTCTAGCTTTGCTAATAGATAGGATACTTTTTGTGTGTCTTAACAATGGGTTGATTAGGTTTTTGATGCATTTTAAAATGAAACTGAAGGTAAAGAACTGGCTAATTTGTAGGGCTTGGAAAGAATTCCTCTTTTTTTTTTTGGAAGATGCTTCCTAGAATACCTAAGCCAGCTTGACCAGTAGCCAAACTGGCTGAGGAATTCTGGAATCTGTAGTCCAAAAGTAACTTTTCTAAGGTTTCCTTATTCTATCTATATGATGTTCACATTTTCCATTTGATGCACTGTCCTTAAAAAGATGGATGGTGTTAGACTTCTAATCATTTTTTTAAAGATTAATTACCTTAACTGCTTATATGATCTTTTAAAACAGCAACCAAAACATAAGCTGTAAGACTACAGGAAACTAAATTGGCTACCTTCTTTTAAAGTAGTAAATCCAGTGTATGTGTGTGTGTTGTTGTTTTTTTTTACTGACAAGAGGTTTTATTGTCTTGTCTTACCCATGGCTGAACCTCATGTCAGTTTAGGAAGGTGTGTATATTACAACTTCTTTTAGAAAATACAGAAAAAGGTGATCAGATGAGGATCAGGGCACAGCTTCTAGACATTTTGCTTTTAAAGAGGTATGTATGTATCCAACATTCATAGGTATCCGTTGTTCATAGCCTGCCTTTGGATATTTGTATCGCTATATAATGGCTGTTGTCAGATGCAGCGAGTAGTCATGGCAGAGAGCAGTCAGCTTCAAATGAAAAGGGGTACCTGTCATTTTAGAATAGCAAATATCAATATAAATTAGATCCACTTTGTTTTTAATTGAGAGCGGTTTTGAAAGGAGCCTGACACAAGTTTGTACGTGCTTGGAAATCTTTTAAAATGCTTTTTTCCCCCTGTAGAGTAAAATGTGATCTGGGTTAACACATTTATTTCCATGGCATCATCAGGGTTTGGTGTCGCTGAGCATCGGCCAGGGACTCAGAAGACTGTAAGCCTGATCCTGTTGTCCCAAAGTGGTCATTCTCCCTCTCCTTTTCCTTGACGTAGTTCCCCTGCCATTGTTGGTGCCATCAGAGTTCTGGCTGTGGCTTGCTAGAGATGGAGATGAATCACGACCATCTTCATCTCTATGTGTTTGGAGCTTCTGCTTGGCCTTGCATTTTTAGAAAGTCTAACACACAGGGCCCACGGCAGAGCCAGGCAATGATTCTGTGTCTCCTGGCCAGTGCCACAGCCACAGTGGAGGAGACGGGGATACGTGAGTGACAACCGTAGTTTGACAAGGAACAGCCACTGCTCTACTGCTTTTGAAGGCACTGGCGATGGGATCAGGAACAGCGGCGTTTTAGGTTCTTGCTGCCACAGGCTGAGCAGCCCCCCCCCATGCTTCACAGCCCACCAAACTCTCATGCCACCCTGCTTGTTTTAATAATGTCACATTTTCTTTTTATACATATATATAATCCTTGGATGAAAAAGCACTAGACGATAAGCAAATGTTTAGACACTGGGTTGTCTGAAAAACCTGCTGCTGTACTACATGTGATTTTCAAAAACTAATAAACGCTGACAACGTGTCCTTATAATGTTCACATTCTTATGTGGAGGCTGCTTCAGTTCTCATTCCAATCAAAATAATTCAGTCTCTTTCTTTCTTTTGCTTGACAGGGGACTTGCAATGGCTTTCTTTTATATACGGGGTGTTCTAACATAGCTTTGTGTTCTCTTGCCTTTTATGCTAACATTTTGAGGTACTTATATTCATGTTTTACTGCCTGCTTTTGTTTTCTTTTGATAATAGTGGAAATAATTAGCCAAACTATAGGCCTAGTCAAGGATGGGGGGGATATGTCCCCTCTAGATTTGGACTGCAGCTCCCATAATTCCTCACTGTTGGCTGTGCTGGGAAAGGTTGATGGGAGTTGCAGTCCAGTAGCTGCTAGAAGGCCCTATGGGTCCCATTTGTTGGCTAGATATTTGATTACACTTCAACGTGCAGCCTATCCAGTGTAGTTGATACAACATCCAGTATATCTGATAGAAAATAGCAATGACCTGTGTGTTGACATAGCTAGCAGGATAGCTCAGTGGTTTAGGTATCTGGCTCTGCAGCCAAAGGTTTGGAGTTCGATTCCCCAGTGTGCCATCTGTGAGTAGAGCCAGCCTTTGTGTGGCCTTGGGCAAACTGCACGGTCCCAGGGCTCCCCTAGAAGAAGAGAATGCTAAACCACTTCTGAGTATTTTCTACCTGGAAAACCACTTGTGTGTGTTCTCTGCATGGAAAACCGTGAAAGGGGTCACCATTAAGTCAGAATGGACTTGATGGCAGACCATGATGATGATGGGGTGGTATATATTGTCCCACTTACTGTCACAGCGAAATGCGTTTTGGAGGCATGGCTGTTGGTTTTTGAGCAAAACCAACCAAGAGTGTTGTAGCACTTTTAAAAAATTAAATATTTATGGCACATGTTTCTATGGATTACATGCTACTTCATTGAGGCCTGGTTTGAATGAATGCTATTGTACTGTCTAGCCCCCTAAAACTGGACCTCTTCTAATTCTAGAACAAGCAAGCTTTAGACCTAGCAAGAGCTATATGGCTCAAATCCTAAATCTAACCCAGCAACTAGAAAATGGATTTGAAACACATGAAATAATTGGAGCAGCATTTCTCGATCTTACAGCAGCACATGATACTATCCACCATCAATTGCTGCTCAAAAGCTCTACCTCCTTGCTAAAGATCTTGGACTAACAGAAATGGTTGCATTCTACTACAAAACCAAAGATTTGATTTTTGTTGTTGTTGAATTTCAAGGGAAACACGGTTGCTAGAGGAATCAAAGGAATGGTCTCCCACAGGGTAGCATCCTGACACCATTAGTTTTTAAACATTGACACAAATAAATGACCAACCAATTTTCCCATATGCAAAGCTGGAGTGTCCCCTCCAGAGCACAAAGCCTGGGTAAAATAATATGGAGGATAGGCTGTTACCCAAGCAGCAAATCCCCCCTCTCCACGAAGCTGAAATAGTCCAATGGAAAGGGCCAATACAACTGGTTCCAGCGAAGTCACAGGAGTTGACAGAACGACATGAACTGCCTTCGGGACTCCAGCTCTGGATTTTGCCTCGAGGTTAACTCCTGAAGCCTTTTCCATGAGTGGATATAGCCACAAGGCAGTGGAGGTTTGAAATCTGAGTTTTCCTTTTCCTAGATGGGCTGCCTTCCAAGGCTGACGAGCCCCACCTACTGCTCCCTCACGGCATGGATGATGGCGGTGGCGCCTCCTCCTCCTGCTTGTTGTTCCCCTCAGGTAATGGTGGTAGAGGCGGCCTGGCTTTTCCCCTCCTGGCGGCCTCTTCCTCCATTTTCCCCCTCATGGGTCACCGTGGCGGTGGCTCCTTCTGTTCCTTTCAAGTATTTAAAACATATCAACCCCCTGTCTTCATTTCTCAAGGCTAAACATGTCCAATTCTTTGCCGTGGCGGCTGCTCCTTCTGTTCCTTTCAGTATATTTAAATCATATCACCCCTCTGTCTTCATTTCTCAAGGCTAAACATGTCCAATTCTTTCAGTCTTTCCTCCCACCCCACCCCGATTGTCCTTGCTGCCCTCCTCTGAACTTGTGCCCACCCCCCATTGTCCTTGCTGCCCTCCTCTGAACTTGTTCCAGTTTGTCAGGTCCAAGTGTACCACCAGGATCATCTGTTCATTTAAAATGGATAAATAAGTGCATTGGGTCCGTCAGCAGATAGCAGATCTGTCAGGATATTTATGACCCACAAGATAATGGAATTTACTCCGTAGTACATGAACCAAAGTTTGCTAACAAACATCCATCTCAAAACAGGTGTGCGCCACAGAGTCAGCACATGGAGCTGAGCTGATCCATGAAATGTGTATTGAACATCAGGTAAAGTCTGGGAGAAGACATCAGGTGATGTGCCCAGTGATTGGTTGTTCAAACTACTGTATATATAGTATGTGCTGCACACTATGGTGATGTTTTTAAGAGTCATTTAAAGACCTGGCTCTTCAGGCAGGCCTTCCCTCCAGTCCACCCACAGAGTCAGCACATGGAGCTGAGGCGATCCATGAAATGTGTATTGAACCTCAGGTAAAGTCCGGGAGAAGACATCAGGTGATGTGCCCAGTGATTGGTTGTTCAAACTACTGTATATATAGTATGTGCTGCACACTATGGTGATGTTTTTAAGAGTCATTTAAAGACCTGGCTCTTCAGGCAGGCCTTCCCTCCAGTCCACACCTGATTTTCTTTTCTCTTTAGTTTTTTTCCCCTTCCATCTTGATCTTCTAGTTTGCTGAATTAATTATGCGATTGTTTTATGTATATATTTTGATGACTTTGATTCTTTTATACTGTTCTATACTTGTTTGTAAGCTGCCCTGAGTAGACGCTGTCTGGGGGCGGGGCGGGGTAGAAATCAAATAATATATACAATAAAAAATAAAATAAATGTGTGGACCTGTCTGGGGGCGGGGCGGGGTAGAACTCAAATAATAAATACAATAAAAAATAAAATAAATGTGTGGAGTGTTGTGTTGGAGAGACTTGCTGCAGGAAGCGCTGTCCGTTTATTTGCTGAGAGTGTATTATTGCGTCTGTTGACATAGTTCCGTTGTACATACTGTAGTTCTGTTATACACAGTTTGTAAATGACGCCGCTGGTGACGGAACCTACTGTCTCTGTGAGTCTCTTCGCTGCCCACCTGGAAGACTCACTTGTCTCGGAGCCACCTCCACACCCCAAATCCTGACAAGATCTCCCCCGCCATTGTTAATGGTCCTCCCGCCCGGCCCCTTCCTTTCTCCGAGCTGCTGCTTCCCTCAGCCATCCTTTTCTCACTGATTCATCTCTGATTTCGGTTTCGTTTCTCAAGATCCTCCTCCTCCTCCTCCTCCTCTCTGCCCCGGAAAAGGGGAGGCGGAGAGAGAAGGACCGCCACGATCTCTGCTGGGAAAGGCGCCCCGCTCGCTCCCGCCGGATCTCTCTGCCTGCCTCCCCTGCCTTTTCTAAGCCCCCCACAAAGGAGGCGCTTTACTCGCGAGGAGGGCTGTTCCCCCCCCCATGGCTGTCGGCGGGGACCCCTCGCTGACTCTCCACGATGAGGCGACCTGCTCCATCTGCTTGGATTACTTCCAGGAGCCGATGATGATCGTCGAGTGCGGGCACAACTTCTGCCGAGCCTGCCTGGCCGACTACGAGGCGAACGAAGCGGGTCGCGACGGCCTCCAGTGTCCCCAGTGCCGGGGAGCGTTTGCTCACCACCACCTCCGGCCCAACCGGCACCTGGGGAATATGGTCGACGTGATCCGCCGGCTGAACCGGCAGCGGCTGGGCAAGGCCGGAGAGGAGGCAAGCCGGGCGGCCTCGCAGGTGTGCGAGAAGCACCAGGAGGCCGTCCAGCTCTTTTGCCAAGAGGACCGAGCCTTCCTCTGCCTCGTCTGCAGGGAATCCCGGGCGCACAAAGCCCACGCGGTCCTCCCCGTAGACGAGGCTGCCCAGGAGTACAAGGTGAAGAGAGAGAGAGAGAGAGAGTGTGTTCTGAGATGCTTAAAATCCTTGCATCCGAGACTGAACAAGGAAAGGGATGGCAGATCTTAAAATCTCTTAAGAACGGGAGCAGACAACGCGTTGTGAAGCCTCACTGTGGGGAGGGGGGAATTCGGTTTCCTTCGATTTAAGTGGCCACATAGGCAGAGGAAAGGAAGGCTGGCATAAAATAAATACAGTAAATAAATTTCAGTTCTATTGCAGTTCTACGGAGGAGCCTGCAGGTGGCGTGGTTCAAAGGAACTGCCTTTAAAAAGCTTTGGCTTTCTGTACTGTATTACCATTTCCTCGTTTTTATTTTGCCTGGGGGGGGAGCACTCATTAAATTGTAAAATAAATCAATACGCAGGAGCTCTGCTCACCCAGAAGAAACTTTAAAAAATGTCTTGGGAGAGAGGTTTTGCTGAGAGAGGTGGACACTGGTGCTGTGTGTTTATGGGTGCATGCTTTCCATTCTTCTCCTAAGGTGAGGGGGGAGGTGCTTTGTCAAAAGCACCACTTTGTGTGTGTGTGAGAGTGTGTGCTTGAGTTGATCCTTCTTTTCTTCTTTGGTTCAAGCAAAGGATCTGGGATTTTCTCAAAGGACAAGGGGTTCTAATGGAGAGTTAAAACTGCGGATTGGGGCCGTGGAATGCCGGGTTGATTCACACTTCCTACAGCATTATGCGATCAATGGAAGAAATGCCAGTCAGCTCATCCCAAGCCAGCAGTAATTGTGGCATGTTTTTTTCCCCTTATAGTCATGCTCTAACATATTTATGACATAAGCCTTGAGTGGTGAACCCTCAGGATGCTTGGGGCCTGCGTCTCTCAAAGGTCTCATCCGGCCTAAGTAAGGGACTGTGGGATTTTGTAGTTGAGACCATTTGTGGGGCCTGCAATTCTCCATCTTTGCATAAGCAGCTGCAAGCTTCTTCTGTTTTTGCTTCCACAGAAATCGAAACTAAAGAAAAAAATTTTCTCTAAAGAAAATTTAAAATGCACCTAACTAATTTGCACCATGCCTGTTCAGCTACTGTGAGGCTGTTTGTTTTGACCTTTAAATGTACTTTATTCTCAAATATTCCCATTAAATTCTACCAATGTTTTTAGAATTTCATTTGCAAATGGCCAGTTTCATTTTTCTGTTAGGACCAGCTCCAGGGCTTCTTGACAACATTGACAACAGAGAGAGGGGAAATTCTGAAGGAAGAATGGTGCAATCAGGATGAAGTTCAACAAATGAAGGTATGGGTGAAGGAAATATCCCATATTGTCCTCATCTGAACTGCTTAGTAGGGATGGGAGCATGACAAGCCAGGACAGGCAAGAACCCATGACATATCTTCAGAGATTCTGCCCGTGTCTTTGGAATATAGAATTAAAATGGCCCCCAACATGTAATGGAACAGCAACTATTTGTGTGTGTGTATGTGTCTTTACAAGGGACGTGGGTTAAACCACAGAAGCCTCTGTGCTGTAAGGTCTATAGATCTGCAGCTGTGAGATCGAATCCATGCGACGGAAGGAGCTCCCATCGCTTGTCCCAGCTCCTGCCAACCTAGCGGTTCGAAAGCATGCAAATGCAAGTAGCTAAATAGGTACAACCTCAGTGAGAAGGTAACAGCGTTCCGTGTCTAAGTCGCACTGGCCATGTGACCACGGAAGATTGTCTTTGGACAAAACGCTGGCTCTATGGCTTGGAAACGGGGATGAGCACCACCTCCTAGAGTCGAACACCACTGGACAGAAATTGCCAAGGGGAACCTTTACCTTTATGTGTCCTTACAGCACAAGTGGGCAGCATCACATGCTGTTTTTACAGTCTTGCCCCTTCCACTAGATATTTAATTTTTTTTAATGATGTGCTGCCATGTTTCAGATGGGGTCGTGTGAGATTGGTAGATGGAGGAGTGACGATGGAGAAATGGGGAGGAACGCCGGAGACTGAAGGCCAAGGGGAACTGTCATATATTACTTGTCTCATTGTACCACCTTCTCTGAAAGGACAGGAAAGCTTTGAGTCTGGGCTTGACGTTTCTGCCACAGTGCCCATTTTGTTGTTGTTTTGCAGAGAGATATTCAAATCATCCAGAATGGCATTCTAACCCTATTTCCGGAGGCGAAAGACCAGACCCAGCTGGCCCTGCTTGATGTGTGTGTTGAAAATATGAAAGCGATAGACAGCATTGCACATGACTTCTCAGAGCGCTGTTTCCTTCTCACCAAGCTGATCAGCGAGATTGAGGACAGGCTCCAGCAGTCCACCTTTAAATGCTTACAAGTGAGGCTTCGCTAGGAGTTCCCCAAGTCCTAACTCAACACATCAAGTTATAGGTCCTGCCTACAGCCTAATGCTAACTAAATTTCCTAGTGTCTTTGCTGTGTGATACGTGTGCTTGTATGTTTGTATGTATCAGTTAATTCACACAGAAATAACATCATTTTGGCTTTGTGTTTGGGTCCTGGTTTTCAGTTTTCTGTTTACTTATGCAAGCTTCTAGTCCTCATGGTGCCATTGCAGTGCATACCAAAAAGCTCAAAGGAAGTCCCAAAGTTCCCCCTAATTTTCAGCCCCGCTGGCTTGCTCTCTAACCCTTGTGTGTGCGACTTCGCCCACATGCGCAACCCCCCCACACACAGTTGCACCCAGAGCCAAAAGGGGCTAAAAACAATTGCTGTTAGTGTGTGGAGGAGAAGGAAGGCTGTGTGGAAGGGGGTAGAGTTGTGCATGCGTGCACAGGCGCTCACCTTAAAGAGAATCTTGGGTGGTCCCATAGTTAAATGAGTTTGAGTTGTGAGAATACGCAGACATGCTCAAAGTCCTTCATCTTCTTTATTTATCAGGGTTCCCTGTATTCTTATTTATTTAGTTGTTTGTGGGTTTTTTTGGGCTGTTTGGCTGTGTTCTGGAGGTTTTTCTTCCTAACATTTCACCGGTCTCTGTGGCTGGCATCTTCAGAGGACAGGAGTTAGAATTCTATCTGTGTTCTGGTCTTGTGTGTGGGGTTGTTGCATATTTGTAGCTACAGTATTTGTATTTAGGAATATAGCAGTTGCAAGCACTGGGCTGGGAGGAGGGATAATTTGAGTGTTTGTTTAACAGTTTGTAGGCCTACTTAGTTATATAAAGTAGTGTGTATTATCATTTGAAGAGGACTCCCCTCTAACATCAGGAATGGCGCAACCCTTTGTGCATATACTCAAAAGTAAGAGCTCCTAAATTCAGTGTGGCTTACTCACAGGAAAGTTACACTGCAGGCTAACTCCAGAATCTCAGTTGGCCAACCACACCACTACGATGCATGTAGATCTGGAGCTCACCTGTCTCTCTCTTTTCCTTCCAGAACATTGGGGACTTACTGAGCAGGTAAGCTCTCACTTCTCCAGAGGGGGTTCAAGATGTCTATGCTAACGTGTCACTATCAGATTCACCGAGTGATCTTTGACCGAGTGATCTTTGACCTCACTGGGTTGTTGGGTGAATCAAATCAGAGTATAGGAACCATATATACTTTCCTGACTCCCTTGGATGTAGAATGGAATGATCAGCCCCGCTGGCTTGCTCTCTAGAAGAATTAACAAAAAATGACCTGGGCCTTTTATCTTGGCCATCGTGAAGAGCAACAGTTTGTTTTAAGTCACTTCTAAACTTTTTCCAGGTGTAAGAGAGAGGTATCTGAAACAGCCAAAGCTGATCTGAAAAGGAGAGCTGAATCGGTCATTGAAAAACTGGCACATGTTTCGACCAAATTGAATGAATTGGCAGGTAACATGATTTTCAAGTAATAAGGATGATTACTGCATCTCAAATTCAGAAGCCTCTGCTACTGAATGTCATACATAGCCAGCCAGCCGTTGTCTGATTCCCTCCTAAGGAGATGTGAATTGGAGGCTGTCATGTTTGCTCAAGAACAGAATGAAACAGTTAGAGCAAAGTGGAGTGGTATGATGCTGGTATATATTTGAATGCAGGAAGCAGCCGTGGCCAATCACCGCATCCCCGTGGCCGGTCCAGGGAGACAGCTGCCAGTCCCTCTGTCAACACCAGCCAGCATGGTCAGGCTTTTGCAACAGTCCCCAGTGTGTTCTGTCCTTATTCAGTCGTTGTTGCTCATCCTCAGCAACAGCAAAGAGGTAAGAAATGAAATGGGGGCAAAAGGAGGAGACGGATGTGTTGACACCCGAGGGCCCTACACAAAACTGGAGTCTCTCATGGAACTGTTTCTCAGAATGCAAAAACAATAACCTAAAGCTCCCAAACCTGGAAGTTAGAGATGAAGTTTTGGTGAGGTATGGGCCAGGAATATCCTGGGCCGTTTTCCATTGAGAGCCAGTGTGGAATAGTGGATAGAGTTTCAGACTAGAACTCCTGAGACTTGGGTTCAAATACTTGCTCAGCTATGTTAACTTGCTGAGAGGGCGGCACTGGCCAAAACCACTCCTTAAATATCTCATGTACCTTAAAAATCCTAGTAGGATCACCATAAATCGGAGGCTAACTTGACAGCACAGAACAACGAGAAGGGACAGTTATCTGGCAAGGGTCCCACCCATACTTGTCTGTGTACAACAAAACGGAGGCAAATATGGAAGCCCTTCTTAAAGCAAAAACCTAACGTTCCCCTTGCCCAGTCAAATACACAGGATACAACTCTGGTGGCTGAGCAATTCTAGGAGTTCTAGGTGAAGCCTGTAGCCTGGGTGTAGCGCAGATGGAGACAGAGTTCCTGAAAAGCTTTGCATCAGTTCCTCCCTGGATTTTTTCGTTGTGTGTATAGATGTGTGTCAGTTTAATTTGTCTCATGACAGACAATGGGTACAATGGCTTTTATCCTGCACTTGGGTCCAGGTGGGGGACAGGTGGGCTTGCCTCTTTTTCTGGCAACCAGAACCATCATGAACCATCATGATCGCTGGAATTGAACCAAAGTGGCTGGTTGGCTGTCCCTTTGGCCTGTCTCTGATTTTTGCCTGCTTGCACCTTTTGTGCCTCTGGTCAGGGACTAGTGTGGTTTGGTTTGGGGTTTTTTGGTACAGTTCCGGCACGTGTGATCGCTGGAATTGTACCAAAGTGGCTGGTTGGCTGTCCCTTTGCTTGAAGCCGCTTAGCAGTCTTGAGAAATGGAAGCCTCCTGGTCACTGGCTTGTAGAGGAGGAGGAGAGATGAAGTGTCCCACTTCTTTTTAATTGTTGTTATTGCATTTGTGATGCTTTGAAAGGGCTGTATTGGTTAGCAACAATTTTTTAAAAATGGAATACTTCCTCTCCCTTCCCCTCTCAAGCCGAGTGGCAAGGAAGCTTCCCATTTCTCAAGACTGTTAAGTTGCTTAGGCAAAGCGTAGAGGAGGGGACAGGAGGGGGAATGTATGTTTGTTTCCCTTTAAAAACAAAGAAGCTCAGTCTGTATCGTGCTGAACAGGATTGCTAGAGGTGCAGTGTAGTCAATCCTTGCATGTGGATGCAAGGATCACCCTAATTGAAATATCAAACCTCAAAGCGACCCTGTTTAGCATAATCTAGATTGATCCAGGCTGGGATAATTGGACCATCTAGTCACAGCCAATGACAGATTCCTTTGAAGAAGAACAGGAGCGACCTAAGGATAGAGTCATCTGAAAAATTCAGTGCATAAGGTGAGTAAACAGTGAAAGCCTAATTTGGAAGAAACCCATCCCCACAAAGATTCTCACTCAAAAGTTACCCCTGATTTAATTAATCCAGGGGTAAGGGGAACAGCCTTGATAACGAGGCTGAAGAGTTTAATGTTAGAGCTTTATTTTGTGGGCTAGGGTTAGACTCCACGCTTCAGCTTTTGATCTGCAACAATTACAAGATCCTTTTCACTCATCGCATTACTGAGCCCAGGATCCCCTATTGTGTAACTGTGTATTTGTGTCCCCCCCAGGTGTATAACTTTGCACTTCTCCCTGTCAAATTTTATTCTGTTGTTTTCAGCCCAGTGCTCAGACCTATCAATCTCTTTTTGAATTTTGTTCCTGTCTTGCAAAGTATTGGCCATTCTGCCCAATTTTGTGTCATCTGCAAATTTGTTAAGTATTTTCATTCCCTCCTCCAAGTCATTCATAAAACTATTGAAAAGCCCTGGGCCTTGTGGCACACTACTTGCTATCTCCTTCCGGTCTAAGAAGGAGTACAATTCTGTTGCCAACTGTGCCTCTACTGGACAGTTGCTCTGTCCGGCCCACACCTAGCGAGCTTGCTAATCAGGAAATTGATGCCCATGTTGTGCTCTGCCCCTCCTCCCTTTCCTAGCCTTCACAGCCTCAGCACAATATCTGAAATACAAATATTGGGAGGATAGTTTGGTTCACCTTAATGAGCAAGGGCTGAGAACAATCTGGGTAGTTCTGGATTCCTAGTAACTTTGGAGGAAAAAAAAATTCAGTGAAAAAGAGAACATGGGCTACTATTTTGTGTGAGCCATACAGGTTTGTCTTAAAGCTGATGCTAGCAATTTTACTTGTTTTTTTTCCTCTTTTCCTAGGGAACAGGAAAAAATGGAAAAAAGGTAAGGATCCATTCCTCAGCCATACAGAGAGCCAGAAGAGATAAGATGGGAAAAGTGATCTCTTAATGTTTCTGGTTTTTAATTAAAAGCTGGAGGTTGGGTAGAAGCTGGCTTACTAGAGCAAATGGGATGTTGTCCCAGTGCAGGATCCCTCCAACCAGCCGTAGGTGCAGGATTGGGGCCCTATTTGTGTTCCCCTCCTCTTGAACTCCCAGCTTCTCCACACACTGTGTGTGTATGTGTGTATTAGAGAGAGAACGTGGTCGGACAGAAATACAGCAGCAGCAAGTACAAACACTGGTGTAGAAAAAGTCAGGAAAACCTACACATTCTAATAGTGGTCTTATGCACACATGTATTAAATGCATACATATTTGATCAGTGTCGAAGTCAATGGTGGTTGGGAAAGGAAATGTACCTCTGGGCCCTGCTTAATAAATGAGTAGGTGTTCCTGAACTGAAGCCAAAGAGTAAAGAGCAGGAAAAGTATGACATTAGAGATGAGCCATAGACAAATGATGCCAAGGATGAAAAAGACATCTGCAAGGTAGCTGGGATAAGAAGGGAGGCAGAGCTGGATGAACCATTAAACAAAATAAGCAGGTGTTTAGAGCAACAACAAGGGAAGAGGGCACCATAAGAGTTCTTCACAGTGACAGATCTAGCAAATGGTACATCCTCCTTAACAAATGGCAGCATCCCCCCCCTCCCTAGGTAAAAGTAATTTAGTGTGAGCCAAAAAACTAAAAAAATATAAAGACTTGCCTAGAGAGAAAACTTATGTTTTGAGTGAAATGATTGATCATTGGTGGGTCTTTTTTTGTGTGTTTTGTTTTTTTGCGTCTGCATTTTGGGAGGTTAGGTGGGAATAGCTGCTGGTCTTTTAGACCCGGGGTCTCCAACCCCCGGTCCACAGCCCGATACCAGGCCGTGGGCTTCACAGGACGGGTCTGTGAAGACAGATCTCCCACTCACCCCGCACGCACGCCCCCTCACAGACACACGCATGCCCCCCCATGCACGCACAGGTGCCCCGCCCACCCACACATGTGTGCACGAGTGTATTTTCATGCATATAATGTGTGCGTTCTACTTTTTTTCCGAGCTGTGGGACCAGCTGCACATTATATTTGTGGGAGGCACCATAATCTTTTCAGTGCTTAGGGCCTCTAAAGGTCTTACTTAGAGATGGTGGCATTCGTATATGAATATGAATACCCCCACATAGGTGGACATAACAGGGGTCCAGCCCCCCAGAGCCGGACTGTCCACTCACCTTCCGCTGTTGTTGCGGGCTCTGGGCTCCCTTCGTATCGCTGTGGAGCTCATGGTCTGCGAGCCACTCCTGGCAGGAGACAAGAGGATGAGTCTCGCTGCCAGGTTGAAGAGTGGCTCGCAGACCCCGAGCTCCGGAGCGACAGGAAGGGAACGCAGAGCCCGCAGCAAGAGCGAAAGGTGAGTGGACAGTCCGGCCCCAGGGGGCTGGACCCTCGTTATGTCCACCTGCCCATCTCTAGTCTTTATCCAGCCTTGAAGGGAGAATTATGTTCGGATACAAGGGGCACCGGAATCTACCTATTCAGGCTTTGTTTTCATGTATTTGTGCTTTTCTTTGATCAACAAATGATACATGTTGTCTGCTATAGTCAGTGATCTTATTGTATTTCAGGTAATGAATATAGATGAACAATAGTTTGTACTCACATATATGACAATGATTAATTAAGTTGACGTGACTGAGTTACTATATGAATGCCCCCTAAAAATGACAATCGGAGAGGCATATGATTTCCATATCAGTCCCTATGTCCTTCTGTTCTGCAGAGCAATATTAATAAATTGGGTTCTTAGCTTTGCTGTTCTTTGTGGGGTAGAGGGTGTCTTTCTCTCCCTCTCCCAGGTACAGATCAGACCAGACCTGTCAGAGTTAAGCATTTTTGCAACAATAGGGGTGGGATGGCCGCCCTTCCATCATTTCCTAATCAAAATCTCACCTACAAGTCTCAGCAAATAGGTTTGAGCAACTTCCTTTCCATCTTTCCTTGTCTCAACTCCATGCAAAGGTTTCTGGCAGCTTTTCAGTAAAAATAGAAATGTTGCAACGTATGGTAATAATGGATCTCTTGCATATTGCCTGTTTTGGCCCTTCCATGCAACACTTATAATTAAGAGCCATTTTTACAGCATTAGTTAGGGTTTTTTTGTATAATTCGTGCTGGGAAATCTCTGCTGGCATAAATATTCAGGTTATGAGGATCCCTTTCACAGGAGGTGTTCTGTATTACTTGTTGTAATGTAAATTGGTTTTAATCAACCCGGTTGTTACTGCAAATTGACAAAGCAGGAAGTTAGTTTGTGGCTTTGAGAATATGTGGATTTATATGCTGGAAAGCAGCATTGAAACTGTGTATATAAGAACAAAACAGGTATAAAACAGCAACAACACAAGGTAATGTTTCACTAAGGGCCAAAGTATAGTCAAATGAAACTGAGGGCCAAAGTACAACAATATGAAGAGGGGGAAAGCCTTCATGCCAAGCTCTTGTCAGTTAAAAGTTGTCACTCACGGAGGGAGCAATTTGAGTTATACGTCAAGACAAGCACTTTGAATTGGGCCTGGGCAGCGACTGGTAGTCAATGTAATTTGAACAGAATTGGCCTGATAGATTCCTTAGTGGCCCCACCACTCACCAGCTGCGCAGCTCGATTCTGGACCAGTTGCAGTCGCCGGACCGTCTTCAAAGGCAGCCCCACGTAGAGCGCATTGCAGTAATCTATGCGAGAAGTTACCAGTGTGTGTGTAACTGTCATGATGAGACTCTGCTCGTCCAGGTAGGGCTGTATCTGGTATAATTTCTGCAACTGAAGGAAGGCACCCTGGGCCACCGAGTCCACCTGGGCTTCCAGTTTTAGACTGGGGTCCAGGAGCACCCCCAAGCTGCGGACCCTGTCCCTTAGGGGGAGTGCAACCCCATTCAGGGCAGTGGAATGGTCCTCCAGTCTGTCCGGCAAAGCACCCACTAACAACACTAATGTCTGGATTGAGTTTCAATTTATTAATCCTCATCCAGTCCATTATTGGGTCCAGTCAAGAGTTCAGCACAGAAACTGCCTCACCTGGGTTGGTTGAAAACGAAAGGTAGACCTGAGTATCGTCAGCATATTGCTGACTCAGTCCAAACCTCCTGATATCTCCCAGTGGTTCCATGTAGATGTTAAAGAGCATGGGGGACAGTATTCAGTCCTGAGGAACCCCATGACATAACCGCCATGGGGCAGAGCAACTGTCCCCCAGCACCACCCTCTGGACATGGTCAGGCAGGAAGGAGCCGAACCACCGTAAAGCAGTACCCCCAACTCCCATGGTCGATAGTGTCGAAAGCCACTGAGAGGTCCAGGAGTATCAACAGGGTCACACTCCCCCCCCCGTCTCTCTCCGGGCAAAGGTCACCACACAGAGTGACCAAGGTGGTCTCCGTACCAAAGCCTGGCCTGAAACCATTCAGTGGTTCTTTTAATTTGCCAGTAAGTTTAATTGATGTTTAGTATTACAATACTGCATTTTCAACACTCTTTTAAAATCATGCTTGTAAACTGCCTCAATCATCATCCTTGAACTGCAGAGCTGGACAGGACCATATGGATTGTCAGGTCCAGTCCCCGCCAAGGAGGCACAGTGGGGAATCAAAATGATGATGATTTGTTTTAAATTCCAATGGTAGTTTGATAGGAAGCAATGGTGCATGCAATTTCAAGAAAAACTTAATGCAGCTATTTGAAATTGCATTGTAGAAGAAGGATACTCAAAGTTGTCTACCAATTGGATGTATCTTCCTGAAACTTTGGAGACCCACTTCCAGTTTGTGCTGACAATATTGGGCTAGATGAATCAAAGATCTCATGCAGCTATAGGGATGCTTCCTATGTTACCACACACTTGATGTCAAGTCTTTAGGTAGTTGTGCACATTCATACAAGAAACATACACAGGTAAGTATATGGTGGTAGCCAACGTAGTGTAGTGGATAGAGTGATGGATTAGGATTCTGAATCCCTGCTCGGCTTTGGAATCTCAGGTTGATGGTACTGATAAAAACATTCCTTTAAATACCTCACTTACCTTGAAAACTCTATTGAGGTCATTATAGGTCCGTTCTGACATGACAACACGTAACACAAATGGATGGTGTGTATATTTGTGTTCAGAAACTAATAACACCCTAACAACTACCAGTCATGGCCTGGAAAGAATTTGAAGTGCTGTGTTTGCAAATTCTCCCTCTTGATAATTATCTTGAGAGATGCTTTCATCATTGGTAGTAAAATAATTGAAATTGTTATGTGGATTAACTCTTTAAGTGCATGCGGAATGATGAACAAATGAACGTAACGTTCCGGTTTTTTACACTCTGCTCACATACTGGGCACATACCATAGGCAGTGCAGATTACCACTTACTGGCAGAATTAATACCAGCCAGATTGAGATGTTGGGTGGATCTATCCAACATTCGGGATTGACTGAAAATCTTGCAGTTGCCTCAGCAGTTTCACCACTGTGTTTACTCTGTTTCAGAAAATGTGCTGCTGGATCCTGAAACAGCCCACCCTCGATACATCATATCTGATGACTGCAAAAGAGTAGATTGGGGAGATGTCCGTCAGGATTTCTTTTACAACCCAAAGAGGTTTCAGTATGCTCGTTGTGTGCTTGGAACAAGGGGATTCAAGTCAGGAAAACATTATTGGACAATAGATGTACAGGATGGACACCACTGGGCTGTGGGTGTGGCACGAGAGTCTGTGGAGAGGGATGTGGTGCTCTCTTTTGAACCCGATGAAGGGATCTGGGCCATGGCACGTTATTGTGATCAGTACAAAGCCATGACTTCACCTCCTACCATTCTGGAACTAGATGATGAGCCAACAGAGATTCAGGTTTCTCTGAACTGTGACGCTGGCACTGTAACTTTTTATGATGCTGAAGACTTAACCCGCCTCTATAAATTTGAGTGTGTTGATTTTGAAGGAGAGAAGGTTTTTCCTTTTTTTCGGATTTCTGATTCGTCTACTTCCCTCTCGATCACTTCCTAAAACATCTGTCCTTGGCTTCTGCTTGGTTTTTAAGAGGGAGCAGGTATCTATTTTGTGCACATCTGTCTTTTGAAATCTGCAGACTGCCTACTTTCAACACGGGACTGAGCATCATAGTGGAGTAAAGCAGAGTTGCATCATAGTTTTCTACAGTTTGTTGGTAGTGAGTAATTTTACTGAAAAGAATGCCTTGGTCATAACATCTAGTAAGGCTTTTGTAAGGAAAGAAGGGATATAAATCAGATAAATGTCCAGAATCAGACATTGATTGATGGATAATTAGACACTACCTGTACCTCAAAGGCAGTCATATGATTATTTAGACATTACACATTGGTTAGTCCTGTTACCTTTTGCAAGGATGTTTAGACAGTACTTTGAAAGTTGATTACTGGTGTTAGTAATCACTTTGGAGGATCATCACTTGTGCCTGTATCCCTCTTCACTTGATACCTACTTCCACTATAATGTATTTACATTTTTCCTATACAAACTGTTGACTATATACTGAATTCTGCGTGTCTGAGGAAGTGGATTGCTATATACAAAAAGCACAAACTGAGATAAATCTTGTTAGTTTTTAAGATGCCATAATGCCTTTGTTTTTATTATGCATATTAAATAAAAAATAATTGATTCCTTGCTGATGGATTTTCTAGCCCTCAAAGTTGAAGGTTGATAGACTGAGACTTCATGTAGGAATATATGAAAACTACCAACATAGCTCAGCATTTTTGGAAATTACCTTTATGTGGTTTTTTTTGGTCATTCACTGTATGGTGATATGGGAGATGTATAACAAAAATACAAGGCAGGGAGTTTAAGCCCTTTCAATGCAAGAGTTGCTTCTCAAATGCAAAAGAAGCAGGACAGACATCTAAATCACGTTAATGCCTTGTATCTTTAATGCTGAGACACCCAAAAGGACAAAATGCAGCAGTTACTAAAATTTGATGCAGGAATTGGGACACCCACACCAGAAGTGGTGCTGGCAATGCTGCTTAGAGTTTTGCAGCTGGAGAGAGTGTTCTTTTTGCAGTCCTCCTGGAAAGTAGCAATGAAAGCAAGAGCAGTAGCAGAGACCTGGGCAGTACATGATACTACAGGAGGGAGAAACATCTTCCTCCACTTGAGCTCAGGCGGTGGTGAGTGCTTTCTTTTTTGCTCCTTTTGTTGTAGGCGGTGAATCTGCAAATTCCAGCCACCATCCTTACAGCAATTGGTGTCATCAAGCAACACTGCCTTTCCTCCTGATGATGATCAAAACAGGAATTGCTTAGCATAAGAAATGGGCTACCAAAGGGAGGGGCGGCAATAGGGCAGTTAATGTGATTCAGCCATGAACAGTGAATGACATGAAGCCTCCAAGCACGCCCCTGCACCCAAACATTCCCTTTTTGAAAAATCAATTTTCTTTGCTCAGAAGATCCCTTGGTGCCCTCTAGAAAGTGGGGGTCAGCAATTATGCCAGGTCTAGACCCTCCCTAGTATCTCATATTCTCCAATATGGATGGATTAGGCATCCTTCAGCCTCAAGAGACTATGGTAACGTGCCCTGTATGGAGGACTTGGAACAGTGTCTAGTGTGGCTGAGGAGGCCAAGTCGAGAGTGCCAGCCCCTTCCACGCTGGACAAATACAATCTGTTCCCTGTCCAGCTCGCTGATTTGGCTGGTTTCGGGGCTGCCTCTTTGCCTTGGCCTG